GCAAGGTTAACCAGGAAGAAATACATGGGTGTGTGGAGGCTGGGACTCCTGTGGATGGTTGTTATAATCAGACCATTGCCAATTATGGCCACCATTAACAAGATAAAGAAGAAGCAGAAGAGGGCATCCTGGATCCAGGAGTCATCCACGAAACTTTGTAGGATGAACATGGCCACAACTGACTGGTTCTCAGGAGCCATGGATAACACGGTCTATGCTCAGGTTGGGAGTGCTTGGGGCTCTGACAAAAGAAGAATGAACTTTATTTTGATTAACTGAAAAGTATTTTAAATCTCAGTTAATAGTCAATGCTGTGTAACAAGGAACCCATTCTGGTAAGAAAGCAATGTTTAAATTTCATTCTCAGGGATCACATGCTAAAGTAATGAGCAGGTCACGGACACATCCCACATGGGCTCTGTTGTGAATATGGGTGGACCCTGCATGCAAGATCTCTGAACAAATTCTTCCATACATGCTGTATCTCATCCCATAAGGAGGGAGAGATGGCCATGGTCTCATGAGTCATCCAGGCCACAGTGACTGGAGATTGTGGTGTGGATGCTGGGAAGACATGAATTACTCATCATCATCACTTGGACTGTGGAAAGGTACAGTGAGAACGGTTTCATTTGGTGCTTGCTGCTTGCCTGAGAGTGTGGGGAATAGCACACAGAACATTTACTGAGTGACTGATTCTCAGGAGACAGAACCAGTGTCATCTTTGTGACGATGTGACTTCTCATGCAGCTGACAACATTGACCCCAGAACTTCCTATCCTTGAACTCTATTCCACTAGGACAATAAGCTGAGGTATAGCATTCAAGACTCATACTCAAGCTGATGCAAAAAAGAGGGTATTTTAAGGAATATAGGGTGTCTCTCAACTTTAAGCCATAGGAACTCAAGTGGTCCCCGACCCAGTTCTTGCAAGGCTGCTCAGAGAACCATCTGAAGGAACCAAACCACCCCTGTAGGACTTCACACTGCAAGTCACTGTCCAGAACACACATGCCCCGAATGATGAGAACACAGGCCTCTGTTGAGAAGACATAGGGTGGTGGTGACTAGACTGGGTACTGCTGGACTCTGTGTGTACTGCTCACTTGCCACTTCCTACTACCAGACTCTGCCAATTAGGACACAGTGAAGGGAGCATACCTAAGTGTGAGTTATGAATCAGAATCTAAGACCGGACTGACAGTGACAGGGGACAGGAAGCTACATGGAATGCACACAGTATGACAGGATGCTCATCCAACAATCACATCTAGTACGAAAATACAAGTCATGTTTCACAGTAGAGCATTTTACATGTTTCCAGAGTAGAGTGCTCTAAAACAAAATAGTCCTGGAAGTGCATTTACTGGCATTCCCCACCACTGTGCACCACCCCTGTTTCTCCATCTCACACTGCTCCAGAAGGGTTTGCAAGGAGAGGGGTGTGGGAGACCATGATGTGTTGGCTTTGTCCCATCTTAAACCCAGCAAATCAAGCTCAAGGTGATGAGGGCATAGTCTGGGCAGGGAAGCCTGCCAAACTTCAACCAGGGTCAATCTTTATTCTGTTCTCACAGGGCGTCAGATCAGGCTGCACACAAACGGTGGACACTCTGTTTCACACAGAGCTCTAGTAGTCACTGGGCGGTGCCTGGGGTGCGGACATGGTGCCCCTGAACACTGAGAGTAACAGACCCGGCTGCCGCGTTTAGCAGATGATATACAGGAAGCTAAGATATACAAGAACACACTTTCTAAAACATGTCTCAAATACTGCCCAGGAAATCCAAACTCTAAATAGTATTTGTTACTAATATTGACTGCAATTTGATCTGAACTTACTCTTTTATTATTTATTTATTTGGTTGATTGGTTGGTTTTCACCACCAATATATTAACTTTTTATTTTTCACCCCTTTAGTCCATATATCCCCTACCGTATGCGTCTGTGAGTCCGGCAGTAATGAGGATGCCTCTGTGTCAGCATTCACACCTCTGAGAGATGAAACACCATGTCAAACGTGAGCATGTGCTCCCTGCCCCACACCGACCTCCTATATCTGCACTGCAGCACAAAGGAGGCAGGAGCAGCTTGCTGTTGTGTTGCCCAGGCAGCCTGAGATGATAAGAAAGGAGTGAATCCAGGGTCATTCCTCCTCCCTGGGAAAGTGAAGTGACTCTGCAGGACATCCCGACTGGGATGAGGGTGCAGTGTCCGTGGTTCACAGGTGCCCCAGAGAGGCTAAGGAGGTTGATGCAGGAACTCCTGCTGGAGTCTACCCACAAACATGCCAATCACTACCAATCCCCTCTACTTCCTATTTGAGGACTTGAGACTTAATCCAAAATTTCTACTAGCTTGTTCCTACCATGTCTTTGTGTAGTTCAACGCACATGAAATCTACATGGGGAGAAAATATCTCTGTTTTCAAAAGTCTGGAAAAGTAAATGAGTATGAAACCTACCTGTATGTCCACAGGCGTGGGGCTGGGTATCTAGAGAAGTGTGTGGAAAAGAAACTGCAGAGAAAGACAGGCAGACAGAGAGACAGATAGACAGACAGAGAGGAGGGAGAGAGAGAGAGAGAGACAGAGGAGAGAGAGAGGAAAGAGAGAGAGAGCACGAGACAGCACATCTGCACTATTACCTATTATCCAGCCCTTTATCTCACTTCTCTGTGATAGTTTCTGAACCTGTTGATTTCCCTCTGTGAATGTCAGAAACATCCATAGGTACACATTTATGTTCTTCTGACATCAGAGACCCTGTGGCTCCAAGCCCACCCCTGGACTGTATAAATACGTCTCCTGATGAACAGCTGACAGGAAAGAAAGGACATAGCTGACTTAAGTGGCCATACACATTAGGAGTTGTTGAAAAGAAGGATATTTTCCAGGTGAGTCTGAAGACTTTGCCATAGTGTTGGTAACCCCTGCCCATAGAGATGCCCCTGAACCCTACAGAAAATTATCGGCTAGATCATGTACTTACCAGAACATTTGGGCTTCAGGGATGCTTTGGTCCTGAGAAGTATAGAGATGTCTGTTAGCTTCAGATAATCCGGGCTTAAATCTTGATAGCGTTAACTGTGTGATGCAACCCATGGCAGTCTTGGCCCCATGGGAAGCCTACCCCAGGGCCCTGGCTTAGGTGGCCTTGCAACTATCTGTCAGGTCAACAGTGGAAAGTGTCAGCAAAGAGGAGCTCAGCCCCAAGGGCAGAAGGAAAAGCCACAAGTTCTGGTTGCCATGGCAGGAACTCAGATGCTTTCCCAGTTGGAGCTCACTTCTTCACACCCAAGTCTCAGCTGAAAACACAGCAGAGCTCTCAGGGTTAGATGTTCACTGGCTTAAGTTCACCAGGAAAGGATCTCAGATTTCTCTAGCTTCATGGGCCATCACTGTCTGCATTGATGTTGTGATGATCAATTTTGTGTGGAAAGGAACAATCTACACATTGTATCCTGACCTCAACTGACAGAGATTGAGTATCCATGTGAGATGGGGAAGACGGGAGTTCAAGATACGAGAGTATTCTGTAGCATGCCTCAGTTCCTCCCGAGCTGTGGGTAGTTGAATATTAATCAGACGGCTTCTATGAAAGTCTAGTTCCTCAAAAAAGTGCCAGCCGTATGTCCTCAAATGAATTCACTTCTCCAGTGTATGTTCTCATACTTGCTCTCCAAGTCAAAGGTTAGGGGATGTCAGTTGTCTTCAGTGTCACTAGATACAGAAACAACACAGTTAAAAATGGCATCCTTAGTCTCTGAAGGTTTTATGTATATTTAAAGTTTAGAAGTAGTGTAAACATTTTTATTTTAATTTGTAATGTCTATGCTCCTTCATGTTTATCACAAACACACACACACACACACACACACACACACACACACACACACACACAAATCACAGATATCACAGATGCACATTTTAGGACAGCAATTTGAGCTTTTTTTTTTCATTCTTAGTTTCTGTTGGATGATGCCAAAGAATTACCATAGTCTAAAATGTTTGCTGTCAATAATAGCATTTCAAAACAAGACTAGACTTATAGTGGAGCCGATAAAGAACTATACCTTTTATCTAGTGTCTTCTCATCCCTTTATGTTATCCACAGGCACTATAAAATCCTCTATATGGGAACCCCCAGAGCCACAACAGGCTAGGAATAGGTCAGTACTTCTCACGCTTCTTCCTGACCCTCATTCCAAACTCTCCAGTCTCATTCCCAGCCCTATAGCAGTCTGGTTGAAGGGGCCTCTCCACCCATTCCACACCCAACCTTAGGAGACTTCACCAAGCCTTGGAGTGAACCCATTTTTCCTCTTGTAGACATTCTCTTCTGCTTTCCTCTGCACCCAGCCCATCCCCATTCCTTCCTGTCGTATTCTTTCAGAAATGCTTACAACTGGACTCTCAGTAGTCACATCTGGTAAGGATGCTAGTAGGTGAGCCACACTATCCTTCCGGCCCTCCATTATGATCTTTCCATTCTTGTAGGATATTTTATTTGTGTTTTAATAAATATCACTTGCCTGAAGACCAGAGAGTAAAAGAACACCACTGGTCAACCTGACAGACCAGACAGTGGTAATACACACCTTTAATTGCAATAGCCACACTAGATGTCATAGAAACAAGGCAGTACATGGCTTTAATGTGCTGCATTAAAAGGTATGCATGGTGAATACCTTTAATCCTAGAACTAGAGAGGAGTTTAAGATGGGAGGAGACAACTCTTAGACTCAGTCATTCTGAGATTGCTGGAGGCAGGATCACCATTTTGGACTGAATTTGAGGCAAGAGTCAGTAGCTGGTTTCTTTGCTTTTTGGTCCTTCGTGTTGAACCCCAATTTCTATCTCTGAAATTTTATTAATAATGCTTCACATTCTTACGCACAGTCAGTAACAACCTGCTTACAGGTCTTGTACTCTGACTTCGGTTATATTCACTGGATACTTCAACTCTTGCTTCAGATACAGGGTCCCCTAATGTCTCTGTCTATCCAGACAATGTTTTGTTTAACACTTGCATAGTTCAAGAATACCCCCTCTCTACCATATTTCCTACTCCATATGGATGCTAATTATAGGTGTGAACAGGACCCCCTTTAGTTTTGAAGCCCAATTCAGTCTTTTCTCCATGGCCACATCTATCCCACTCTGTCATGCAGCCACATAAACAAGAGCTCTGTACTGGGCAACCCATTCACCAGACTTTG